TCCCCCCGTTTCCCCCGTTCCCACGCGGCTCTCCCGCCCCGCAGCGCCCTCATGACCCTCATCTCCCTGCGCAACCTGGCGCTGGGGCGGCCGCCGCTGGCGCAGCTGGCGCAGGAGGTGGCCCTGGCCTCGCTGCGGGCGCCGGAGGAGAGCGGCGGGGACGCGGAGCAGCGCCCCGAGCTCTGACGGGACCCCCCCTCCGCCGACCGTGACACCACCCAGCGACCACGCGGGGCTCCGGTCCAACCTAGCCGTTTTATTGAGATCTTTTTTCATGTTAATCGGTGAAATCGAGACATACGTAATAAAACCTCCAGAGAGAAAAAAAAAAAGAGGAAAGAGGAGAAAAAAAAAATAGAGAAAAAGAGAGGAAAAAAAAGAGCCCCCCCGCCCGCCAAGGCACTTGCTGGGGGCGGCGGCGCCGGGCCGGGCACGTAAACAAGCCGGCTTCTCTGTACCACACCGGCCAAGGGAGCCGCGGCCGGGCCCGCGTGGCCCCAGGTCTGCCCCCCCCGCCCCGAACCCCCCCTTTTACACCCCAATTTTGTGGTATTCCCCCCCCCGCCTCATTTGGGACCCCGGCAGGGGCGCCCCGAGGTTTTTCTGTAGGAGACCTCGGGCTGCCGGGGCCGGCGGGGGGGCCATAAGAGCTGCCGCCTGAGCCCGGGGCTTCTCTGTACTCACGCCCCGCGCCTCAGGACACAATAAATAAGCCGTTAGAATAAAAAATAAAACGTTCAAGTATGAAGGGCAGGTCCCCCCCTCCCTCCTCGCCTTGCCCCGCAGCCGGGGAGCCTTTTTTGGTGGGCCCCCCCCTCCAAAACCTCCCAGCGCCACAAAAAGAAGAGGGGGGAGGAGGGGGGGGCTGTGCAGTTGTGGGTTAATTTCTGCTTTCTTATAAAGAAAAGGAAAAAATAAAGAATTCCTGCAGTGCCCGAGCGCCGGAGCCGCGGGGCTGGTGCTGAGCTACGGGGGGGAGGTTGGTTTTAACACACACACCYCCCCTTCCTTATTACGTACGTCCTCCGGGAGGGAAAGAGCTGGAAACGGTTAAAATCCAGCGCCGCCGCGGGAAGCGGCGGCGAGCGGAGTGAACGGGGGCGCTCCGGGGCCGGCAAGAGGCTCCCGGAGGCAAGAAGCGACAGTCGGAGGAGGCCGGGAATGTCGCTCCGAGCTCAGACGTCACGAGATTAAAAAGGCGGCCGGGACAGCGGCCACCGGCGGGGCGCCCGTTGGGGACGGGGGGCAATGGAGGGGTGGCCCGAGGCCACGTCGTGGTCCCCACACAAGAGAAATCCTGGCAAGAGGCGGAGGGGCGAGCGGGAGAGGAGGACAGGAGAGCTTGGGGACAGGAGCTCTTTTCCCCCAGAGCCTGAAAGCTTCTCTGTAGCCTACGCCAACAGGAGCGGGGAAAAAAGCCTAACACTTTTTCAGTATTTTAGCTTTTTGGGGACTTCCCAGGGAAAACTGTCCCTACCAAAGTGGCCATAGGCTGCAGTCCTCTGATAAATGGGCTTCTTCAGATCCAGATCCCTGGAATATACAAGTCCTGCACTTAGTAAAGGCGCGTGCGAGGCCCAAACGCGCAGCACCGAGCGTCCCTGCGTGCCGGGGCCGGGCGCTCGCCGGCGCCGCCTCCTCGCTGCTCTGGCTCCGGGGGGGCCGTGTTCCTGTCCTGCTCCCTTCTCCCCCGGGGGAGGCGGTTGTAGCTTCCCGGGAGAAGCTACAAGCGCGGTGCGGTKGTTGTTCTCAGCTGCCGGCGGATACTTACCCCTCTCAGCAGCACTTATCTTCCGGCTTAGGCAGCTCTTGTCCCAGCCCAAAGGCTGCTCCTCCCTTTAAATCGGGTGTTTCCAGCACCGCGGCGGCGAAAAGAGGCAGCGACGGCAGCACGAGGCGGTGGCCGGGGCGGGCTCTGCGCCCGCCGGCTCCGGAGGCGCGAGGAGGGAAGGGGGAGCCGCGTGCGCGCCCGTCCCCAGCGCCGCCTCCCGCCCGGCACCCGTTCGCGGCCCCGTCTTTACCTGACGATCACCCCGGGGCGCAGGTCGAAGTTCTTCTTGACGATGTCCAGCAGCTCCCGCTCGCTCTTCTGCGAGGTGCCGTAGTGGAAGATGGAGATGGAGAGCGGGTGCGAGACGCCGATGGCGTAGGAGACCTGCGCGGCGCGGGCGTGAGCGGCGAGGGCGACGCGGCGGACGGGCCCCGCGCGCCCCGCGCGCCACCCACCTGCACCAGCACCCGGCGGCACAGCCCGGCCTTGATGAGCGACTTGGCCACCCAGCGCGCGGCGTAGGCGGCCGAGCGGTCCACCTTGGTGTAGTCCTTGCCGGAGAAGGCGCCGCCGCCGTGGGCGCCCCAGCCGCCGTACGTGTCCACGATGATCTTGCGGCCCGTGAGGCCGGCGTCGCCCTGCGGGACAACACCTCCGTGAGCTGCCACCTCGCCACGAGTGTCACCTCGCCACGGGTGTCACCTCCCACGGGTGTCACCTCCCACGGGCTCCACGAGGTGACAGCGCCGAGGTGCCCCCAGCAGCAGCCTCACCTGGGGGCCCCCGATGACGAAGCGGCCGCTGGGCTGCAGGTGGTAGATGGTGTCGTCGTCCAGGTACTTGGCGGGCACCACGGCCTTGATGACCTTCTCCTTGAGCGCGTCGCGCATCTCGTCCAGCGACACGTCCTCGTCGTGCTGCACCGAGATGACGATGGTGTGCACGCGGATGGGGATGACGGCGCCGCGGTCCTGCATGTACTGCACGGTGACCTGTGGCGGAGGGGGACACGGTGAGTACGGTGAGAGGGGGACACGGGGAGCGGCGGCGGCGCTGCGGGCACCCACCTGCGTCTTGGAGTCGGGGCGCAGCCAGGGCAGCGTGCCGTTGCGCCGCAGCTCGGCCAGCTTGGCGTTGAGCTTGTGCGCCAGCACGATGGTGAGCGGCATGCACTCCTCCGTCTCGTCCGTGGCGTAGCCGAACATGAGGCCCTGCGCCAGAGGAGCCGTCGCGTGAGGCGCCGCGCGGGGGACACCCCGGGGCGCCCTGCACGTCACCGCTCCCACCTGGTCGCCGGCCCCGATGTCCTCCTCGCTGCGGTCCAGGTGGACGCCCTGGGCGATGTCCGGGGACTGCTGCTCCAGGGCCACCAGCACGTTGCAGGTCTTGTAGTCAAAGCCTGGGGACAGCGGGGACGCTCAGCCCGGGCCGCGCGCTCCCCGCGCCCCGAGCGGGCGGCGCGTCACCTTTGGAGGAATCGTCGTAGCCGATGTGCTTGATGGTGTCCCGAACCACCTTCTGGTAGTCGACGGCGGCGCGGGACGTGATCTCCCCCGCCAGCAGGATCATCCCGGTCTTCGCCACCGTTTCTAGAGGGAAAGGGAAGGTCGGCTCCGGCTCTGGCACCGGCCGCCGCGGCCCCGCGGGGCTCCACTCACCGCAGGCCACCTTGGCGTCGGGGTCCTGCTTCAGGTGGGCGTCCAGGACGGCGTCGCTGATCTGGTCGCAGATCTTGTCTGCAAGAGCAGAGCCYGTCAGGGCCGCGGCCCCTTCCCGCCGCCCTCCCGTGCGGAGCTTCCCGCCGCCCCGGAGGGCGGCCGCTTCCGGAAGCCATTTCCGTGTCCCGCTCCGCATCCTTAGTGTGGAATTCCAGGCATTCGCCAGTTAAACCGTGGCGCTCAGGTTACATTTGGGCCAGGGTTTTGGCTCAGCCGCCTCCCGCGCGGTGCCCCTGTTTTCCCAGGAGGATCCCGGCGCCTCCCCTCCGGAGGCGGCCRCGTGCCAGAGCTTTCCCGGAGCTTTCCCGACAGCTGGGAGCTGATGCGCGGGGCCGTTTCCGGGGCTGTTGGGTGTCACCCGCTGCCCCAGTGCTGCTCTACGGGGCTGCATCCCGGCGCCCCCAGCATGGCTCATCCCGGCACGCCCGCCCCACGGGCTTCCCGCGCGGGAACGCGGACGTCCTTGAGGACGACCTCTGCGGCGGCAGCCCTCGGCACCGGGGCAAGAAGCCGCCGGGAGGCTCCGCTGGCTGCTTTTTGGGGCTAAAGGGCGCCAAAACGGACCTTACACCCGTGACGAAGCAGCGCCATGGGGTGTGCGCCGGGCTCCGTGGAGCGGGGCGGCCCCACAGGCCCCCCCGGGAGAGGGTCCGGCCCGAGGGGCGGCTGCAGCGGGAGCCGCTTCCGCAGCGCCCGGGAGCCGCGGACGGGAGGCGGGAGCCGCCGCGCGCCCGGACAGGGAGAGCGCGGCGGGAGCGGCGGCGCCGGAGCCGCCGGATGCTGCAAGGGGGTCGGGGACACCCCGGGGGCACCCTGTGTGGCACCGTCCCCGTGTCCTGGGGACCCCCATGGGGACTGCTCTTCATGTCACCATGCCCATGTTTTGGGGACACCCCCGGGGCGCCCTGTGTGGCACCGTCCCCGTGTCCTGGGGACCCCCATGGGTCACACGGGCTGCTCTTCATGTCACCGCCCCAGTATTTTGGGGACACCCCCGGGGTGCCCTGCGTGTCCCCGTCCCCACATCCCGGGGACACCCCTAGGGCACACGGGGCCCTTGTCCGGTGCCGGTCGGGGCCAGGCAGTCCCGTGGGACGCCGAGCACCGTTTCCCTCGACCCCGGGCGGGGGGGGGGTGCGCGGG